CTCACTCATTATCCCAGCCAGAGTGCAGTAGTAGGTACTATCATGGCTCACTGCATCCCAGGATCAATTGATCCTCCCCACCTCAGCCCTCCAAGTAGCTGGGACTACAGATACACACATCCATATCCACCTAATTTTTTGTATTTTTTTTGTAGAGACAGGGTTTCACCGTGTTACACAGGCTTGTCTTGAACTCCTGGGCTCAAGCAATCCATCCACCTTGGCCTCCCAAAATGCTGGGTTTACGGGCATGAGCCACTGAATTCAGCCCCTCGCACTGTTTCTTCTAAGTCTTCTTCCTCATTGTCTAGTACTAGTTGCAAAGCACTCATCTTTATCAAGTTGTATTCTGTTAATTCCTCTGGTGTGATGTCTACTGGCTCTTGAATTTCTCCAAGATCCTTATCCTGAAACTCTCTAAACTCAAACTTTTTTGTCATATCCACAATCTCTTTCATGATCTCCTTGATTGTCTCTGCTGTAAATCCTGAGGTTATGCACAATAACTGGGTGTAGTTTTCTCCATCAGTAATTTATTGGTTCAAGCCTCATGGCTTTTATGGCTTTAATGACTGCATCTTCAATGGTGTGATCCTTCCAAACTGTCATGATGTTCTCTCTATTGGAGTTCTCTTCCACAGCACTGACAATGCTTTCCATACAGTACCACGTATAATGAGCCTTAAAGGTCTTTATGACACCCTGGATTTAGAGACTGAATTAGAGACATTGTGTCTGGGGAAAAGTAGACCACTTCGATGCCTTTGGTGTCAAACTCAGGGGGTTCTGGGTGTCCAGGGACATAGTCTGATATCCAAAGAATCTTTTAAAAGCAATCCCTTGCTGGCAAGGTACTTCCTGACTTCAGGGACAATGCATCAATGAAATTAATTCAGAAAGATTCCTGTTGTCCAGGCCTTCTTGTACAACCAAAACGCTAGCAGCTGGTACTTACCTTTTGCCTTCAAAGCTGAGGGTTAGACACTTTACAAACAAGGAACCCAATTGCATTTGCATAAAACAGTAGAATTAGCCTATCCCTTCCTGCCTTAAATCCTGGTGCTTATTTCTCTTCCTTACTAATAAATGTCCTTTGTGGCATTTCTTTTAAACCAAGTCACTTTCATTACAGTAAAAACCTGTTCAGGGCTGTTCCGTCTACGGTGTAGCCATTCTTTTATTATTTTGCTTTCTTAATAAACTTGCATTCATAAAAAACAGCCGTTCAGGAAGATATATTTAATACTTTCTCCTCAATGATTTTTTTTTTTTTTTTAGGATGGAGCAATACTTTATTTTTACACACTTTGATAAGGAGGTTTTCCATAAACAACCTTTCCAGTGAAGAACAGAGAACATGAAAATCGGCCTCCAGATAATCAGTAGCTGTGTCTGCTCAGTGCCGAGGCTCCCCCTTGCCCATGTGGTGAGGTGGAGGGGTGTACTTCCTTTCCTTCATCAGTTTTTCCCGTTGCCTCCAGATGGTATCCATACGTTTCATCGTTTTTTTCCAAAGTAAACACTCTACAAAATCATCATATTCTATCTTGCACTCTTTCTCTGCCCGGGTAGTACCGATTCCATGTGTACATTCCACCCATTCTTTTTCAAAAGCATGGCATCGAGCAGGAAACTTGTAGGGCTGTTCAGCACTTTGGATTGTCCACCACCGATCTAGGTTAATTCCGAACTTTTCTGCACATCCAAGAAAGGCATGGCTGTAACTATCCGATGCTCGTGCCCTTGTCTCTGCTCTGGCCTCCACTTCAGGACGACCCAATGATTTTCTTAATGGTGTGTGATAACTCATCTGCTGCCTCTTGCTTGGTCAGCAGAGGCTCTTTCTTCCGTTTGCTTGACATTTTTCAAGTCAGGCCTCTTCCTAAAATTATCAAGCTATCCTTTGCAGGCATTAAATTATCCAGTTTTAGATTCTTCTCCTTCCTTTTGCTTTAAGCTGTTACAGAATGACTTTACCTTTTTTTGAATAGTATTAGTCTATACGTATGCCTTTCTCATAGCAATTCTGCCCCCACATAAAAGCTAAATTTTCAGCACAAGATAAAAAGGTATTTTACAAAAAGTGCAGTTTTCACGCCTGCTGACATAGTTGTAGCAATGGCTTCATGAACGTCCTTTTCTTTTTTCACAGTGGTCCTTATACTCAATTTATTTATCTTGAAATGACAGGTAATAACAGCTGCAAATCTCAATCTATAGTACATATCAAGCATTTCAGCTTTTTCTGTAATGTCATTACTTTTCTCTGCTTCTTGGGAGCACTCCCAACAACATTAGTGGTACTTTGTATGGATCTCACAGTGTTCAACTCAGATTTTTTACTTCATAGGAGTCAGTGTCCTAATCTCTGCATTGTTCAAGAATCAATTTCATCTACAATTGTTTATTTCAGAATAGATGTACCTAGTATACCTCATCTTAGAAGGGCGCATGTTTTCTTGTATAATAACATTTCAGAGATACTCTAAGCATCTGTGTGTGTGTGTGAACACACACATAATTTTTTTTTAAATCACACGTATACACTGAAAAGCATGCTATATACACCATCCGGCACCTTCCAAAAGACTTTTCCTAGAAAAGGGATACATAATCATTATTTTATTCAAGACAGTTCTACAGTGTCTAAGATCATTTTTGCTGATTACAGAATAACTGGAAAACACCAAAATATATGTAAAAACAGCTTCACTCATAAACCCAACCACTCAGATAACATTTATGTGTATTTCCTACCTTCTCTGCATAAAAGAAATACAGGGTACAGGTTAGATGGTATACAGATCAGATGGTATACTATAACTTCTTAATAACACATAACACTAAATATTATGATTTCATAAGCAGATGACCTCAGAAATCTAGTTCAACCTGCTTCTAGCAGATGACTGTCCTACCTTAGAAATCTATACTGACCCAGTTCCCAAGAGGCAGGCAAGAATCCATGGACAAAAGTTAATCATATGACCGTGTTCAGTGGCTCATACCTGTAATCCCAGCACTTTGGGAGGCCAAGGTGGGTGGATCACTTGAGGTGAGGAGTTCGAGACCAGCCTGGCCAACATGGTGAAACCCCATCTCTACTAAAAGTATAAAAAAAATCAGCCGGGCATGGTGGTAACCACCTGTAGTCCCAGGTATTCTAGAGGCTGAAGCACGATAATCGCTTGAACCCGGGAGGTGGAGGTTGCAGTGAGCTGAGACCGCATACTCCAGCCTGGGCAACAGAGTGAGACTACACCTCAAAAATAAAATAAAATAAAATAAAACAAAATAAAAATCATATGAAGCTTACATTTCTTTCATACTAAACCTGTTTGTCTAGCTTGGAATACCTTACAGATGACAGAAAGCAAATAATAATTAGGTTTCCCTCTGTTAAGGATCCCATTTCTCCTTAACAGTTCAAACATCTCACCATCACAAAGCACAATTCTTAGTAAATATCAACTACTATTTAAGCTCAATAATATTTAAACCGAGAATCAACAAGAAAGCAATGCCACTACTAGGGAAGTGGCACTACTAGGGAACTTCAACATAGTCACAAATAATGGTTACGCTAGAGCAAAATGAAGTAACCAAATTCTTTGTGCATTCTTCTCTGTTGCTATCCTTGGGTATCAACTACCTTAAGATAAAGAGTTAAGAATGATTGCCGGTTCAAAACATCAGAGAAAACAGCATGCAGACGCTGTCAATGACAACTGTCTCATATTTCTTTCCATCAAAAGCAAATTTGGTATTAATTTTAATGGAAAAGTATCCTTTGCTACCTATTGCATCGCAACAATTTCCAAAATGAAGGATAACAAGTTTCTTTCGTGGGCAGAATCTTCTGATTTTAAAATGTCAATTGAATTTACCAACTTTAACCTTTGGGAATATTTCAGAGTTTTTTTTTTTTTTTTTTTTCTTTTTTTTTATTTACAGAAAGTCCCCTTAAGAATATTCTAGGGGATGTTGAGACGGGTACCACTTTGCTTTCTGATTTCTATGCAACAAATCTTTAAGGCTGTTTTATTCAACAATGCTGAGGGAAAAGCTTCAACTGCAAGCTGAAGGGGTGGGGGAGGGGATGAAGGAACGCGCTGGAGGTGTGCGGATTCCGCCTTAAATTGCGCTTGCGGACTGGACTTTGAACCCTCCGTCAGCAGACTTGACTGCCTCCGTACGGTCTCAATTGGAGACGACACACAGATTTCACTTCTGAAAAGCACTTAAGATGAAGGACTCGTTTTCAGAAATGCATAAGAAGAAGGTAGCTCAGATGAAGCCTCGGGAAAGAAGGCAATCAACCCCACTCCACCCGCCTGTGCTTCTGGGCCCGACGCTCAGCCGAGCTCTCCGAGGCCGCTCCTCTGCAAAGCTCGCTCTCCCCAGCGGCCCCCAGTCCCGCAGCTACGCGGCCGCCACACGGTGAAGCAGCACGGGCCCGGCGTAGGCAGCTTTGGAGAAAAGCCGCAGCCCAGGCTCCGCGCTGTGGCGTTACCTGTTAAGAAGCAGGGAGGCGGCGCTGAGGCAGAGCAGCAGGAAGCAGAACAGCGGGTATTGGCGGCAGATCTCGCGCCCCACGTCCAGCCGCAGCCGCTGCTTCAGTTTCTCCCCTACCGTCCGCACCCAGGGCACCATTTCCGTCCGCGAGGCCGAGGCTGTCCTACTGGCTGAGGCCGAGGTCAAGGCGACCCCCTATCCATACCCCGCGTCCCCGCCCCGTCAGCTCGGCGGCGTACACACACAGCTGACTACCGGCAGTTCGCCGCCGCAGGCTGCGAACGCGTCAGGCAGGGCCCAGCCCCACGCCCCCTGCCGCGCGTGCGCGGCCGCCGTACCCCGCCGACCTGGGGAACGGCCGTAAAACGTGATCGAGGTCGTCACCCAGCGCAAGGCTCCTAGCGTTCCGCAGCTCCGCCCTCCAGGCCGGAGTAGCGCGCAGTCTTCCGTGGAAACTCTGACTCCACTGGCTACCGGCCTTTTCTGGAAATAAGAGGGTAAGCTCCAGCACCCAGTAACTGCCTGTTTTGCGGAGGAGAGGGAAGAAGATTGTGGCGAGACCGGAAGAAACTACAGCCCCCCCGCCGTAGCCGCCGGTCACCGTCTGAGGGGCACCCGGAGCTCGTGGAGCCTGCTGGGAACTGTAGTATTCGTGACACGAACCCGCAGAGGGATGGAGCGAGTGGTCGCGTTTCCCCGACGCCACAACGCTCCGCGCCTCACCTTACTTTCAGCTCCCGGTGGGGGCAGGTCCGAGCTTTGCGTGACGCCTAAGGGAAAGGTGGAAGGGAGGACGCCTTTGAGTCCGTATTTTAAAAGGGGCGTATTATGGACTGTGAATGTGGCGAGTAAAACAGCCCTGGAATACATACAACCCACCAAGCCGCCACCCCACCAACAGAATCTTTTGCGTGCTCACAGGCAAGGTAAAGCCCAGTTCACGCCGGTTCCGGGAGCCCAACCAAAATCCAAGTGCTTGGACGAGGCAGGTTGGCAGATGAGGTGAAATCCCTCTTACAGAGTCTCATGGGGTTTTCCCTTTGCTAATTCATCGCATTTCTAAATTTTTATTTCTGTATTGTCCGCTACAATGAGAGATGCAGAAAGACTATTACCGCTTAAATTTACTTAGGTGGTGCTGTAAGCACGTTCATTTAACCTCCATGCATTCACCCCATGGTGTAGGTACAGTACTGTAGTTTCAACCATTATACAGGTACGGAGACAGAGGAACTTAGGATCATACAACTCACAAAGCCGGGATATGAACAGGTTCTAAGGCCAGAGACTGCCCCTGTCGTCTCTCTTTCCTAGGATCTTAACCTTCAAAATAGGGAAACAGTCAGAAATGTTTTTTAATGGTGTATGTGGTTTCATGAACATTTTCCCATATTATAAAAACATGTATCTTTAATGATGCATTATTTTCCTTTCTCAGAATGTACCACCCTTTGTTCCATTATTGCTAATCACTAAAGTTCATTTACATAATGACCATCCTTGATCATAAATCTATGCACATTTCTATTTCTTTAGGATGAACTTTAATACAACAACTGGGTCAAAGAGTAAAAACATAAGCATTCTTGATATAGTCAAACTGCTCTGTAGAATGGTGACACCAATTCCACAGTGGTGTATAAAAGTAAACAATTGCATTGCTCCTCACGATTAGACATTATTGTCTTAACATCACAAATATACTTTTCCATTTGTGACTAAACCATTTCAAAGACCACAGTGTAACATTACTGGAAAGCTTACCGCTTTTAAAAACTGTTTTTAGGTACATATTAGGTAACTAAAACAGATTTTGGTACCTAATACTAATTTAGTAGAATACCTACTTTAGTAGAATCGGTTTATTCTAAAATATTAGAGATGTATGTTGAGTGGATCTACATGTATCAAGTGCCTATGGACTTGAGTGTGTTATGGTTTTGTAAATTAGTTTTTTAAAAACTCTAATTTCATGACAAATGATGTAATTTACCTTATTAACTTGTCTGATAAATTATATTACCTTTTATTCTGTTTAAAACTTTTGCTTCCTTAAAGACTTATTTTGAAATTACTCTTCACCAAGAGCCAGTATATTTTAAAGACATAATGTCTTGAATTCTGTTCAAATCAGACATCATTACAACATCCAATTAAAAGACTTCTTTCCCATCTGATTTCTTAGAGGCAACTGGAGGAAGTTAACTAGACAATAGACAATTTAAATTTCCAAATTGCTCCTCATGATTAAAAAAGGAAAAAAAAAAATGTAGTACTTCTTCCATAAGGAAATTCTTTATGGCAGAGAATTTCCACACCTAAAGCAAGAAATGTAATTAAATTTCTGTTCCTACAGACCCCATCTGAGGAAATAAAATAACTTTTATTTCATTAAATGTTCTCTCTTTAGCCTATGGTCTAGAATCCACCTTTACATCCACAGAGCTAAAAATTTTTTCCCCAAGCTTATTAAGTTTTGAACTTTCAAGGGGTTATATGGAATACCCACAGTCAATCCTGGTTCTGAAACTAGCTTTATCTCCTACTAGCAACATGTTAGCAAGGTTCACTTGATCTCTCTCACTCCTACCTCAACTCTAAAACAGAGCTATCTTATAAAATTGGGGGCCAGGGACAATTAAAATAGGTGGAAAGTTGGAAAGTACCTGTTAAATATCTTTGTATAATGCTTAATACAAAATTGTTTTTTCAAATTTTACAGCTTTATGAACATGCCAATAATGAGCTAAACCAATTAGCTTTTAGATACAACAACCTAAAATGAAAATGACATATTAAGATACCTAATTTCTAGGAAAACTGAGATCCAGAAAGGTTGAGATCCATGGAAACTACCTACCCTACAGTTCTTCCAGTACAAGTCAGTAGTTCGATTGAGCTCACTGAGCACTTGAAAAGTGGCTCGTTATTTCAGACTTAGCATGGAAACAGTATTAAATGTAAATTAAAATTAGTTTTAAAGCGATTACACATTGTTTTGGAAATAGTTGCCTACAAGTATTTAATGTAACTAGAAACTTTGAAATTACATATGTAGCTTGCATTATATTTCTGCTAGTCAGTGCTGTTAGACTGCTAGCCTTGGAGATTCAGTACAATGAAATGTGTAAATTTTTTATAAATGCTACAAATGTCACACATGTGCTAGGTGTACATGGACAAACTATAGAAAGTTTAAAGTTTGATAATGCATTCATTTAAAGGGCTCAGACATTAAATTGCAATCCAGTAGTATGTCCATTATTTTAATGAATATATTTATTGAATAGCAAATAAGTGTAAGGCACTGTCCTAGATGTGGTGGCAGATACAATTAATTTAGATGCATTTTTTTTTCTGACCTCCAAAGGCTTACAATCTAGTGAAACAAACAAGTCACATAAAATGTTATAAAGGGCAGCAGATTTATACATAAAGGCTGTAATTGTTTTTTTTGTTTTTAATGACAGGGAAATTTTTAACTATGAGGATCTGGAAAGGCCTGTGGAAAATAATGTGAGCAAAGAATAGGACTTATCTCTGCTTTCACTTGTAATTTTAAGAAGTCATGCAATACTAGGCAAAGTATCCAAAATGCTTCCACTTAATTTAACCTGATTCTCCTGACCACACCAGCAAAATGTTTTTTATGTTCATACAATAATTTTGCAAAGTAATGCTGAATACCTGGAATTGCAGAAATTAGGCCTAAACTCTGATGACCCTGAATGTAAACCATATTTTAACATGTTGAGGGTCATTATTTCTATGGCACAAGTATATCGGGAAGAGGATGGATATACTACCTCTGGGAGCCATTCCACTGCCTCCCTCACAGATGCCTCCTGTCTCAAAGCTGTTTTTCCCTTCATCAAGGTTTATTTCACCTTTTGTGGCAACCCTAATGTTATTTTCACAGCCTTAATTTTACATTTCATAACACCCTCTCCTCCCCACAACCGATCCGTATGTATCAACCTCTGGATAAAACACCTGTTAAAGAGGCCATTGAACTGCCTTCTTCAAAAAATGTTCACTTCCTTGGTTTTCAAAATAGGAACTTATTACAATAGAAAATATGTAATTCAAGGAAGAAGAACATTAAATAATTATTATGAGTGGAGGGACTGAGATGTTCAAAATGCAGTTATTATTTTCACATTTAACCCTCTTTTTATGGCCATGAGAGAAAAACCTCCACTGGGGGAAAATACAAAGAACAAACAATGTTATAGAGCCAGTGGCTCAACTATAGATACTCCCTGGGTAAATGCCACGTTTTGATTATAAAATTCTGGATGGTTTCATTATCTTAGTATCAAAAAAAATTATGCACTTCATATTTGTCATCTTTTTTCTAAATTAGGATGAAATAGCCATCCTTTTAAGCCTCACTTTTGGGGAAGTAGGAAGCTAGCTAGAATTTCAGAAAATGTAAATAAATAACTGCTTGGAAACTGAAAATATACTCACCTGTTGGTGAATATTAAAGATTGGAAAAGGCACTTATAATCCAACACCACCATTCTCTTGTAGGCCAATGCTTTTGTTTATTTTTAAAATTACCCCTTAAATAAGTAAAACACTCCATCTTATTTCTCAACTACAGACAGTGGTTTACCTTCATTTAAAAAAATGTTAACTGTATCACTTCAAATGTTTAAGTAAATTTCAACTGGCTTCACTAACTTCAGAAAATATTTTGGAAAAACTTTGCAATCCTTCCTACCTCACAAGCTATTTCCCAAAACATAAAAATTAAAGCTCTTTGAAGTTGTCCTAAAAACCACCATGCAATTTGGAACAGTGAGAATCACTAACATAGGTACTTCAGCTCGTATTCTTCTAGTAAGGGTTACTACTACCAAATAATTAAAATCAATTTTTACCTTCACTAAAAATAAACTTTTCCTCTTTTGGCAAGCTGACTCCAGAAAATAAACTCAATATATCTAAGTATAAATCTTGAATCATAATTTTGAAAATTTTATTGAAAAATTTTTATTGGTAAATTTTCCCTATATATTCAAAGACAGGTACCATTTGAATTTTGGTTTAACTCACATGAACACAAGATTCTAAAACAGTCTGAATCTTTAGCGTTATGGCCTATAGTCTTCAATTTTGTAAAACAATTCAAGATGTATCTTTAAGTACTCAAAACAGTGAAGAACTCTGCTGTCCCCAGATGTTCACAGAACAGTTGTATCACTTCTATTTTTAGGTTAAATTTTTTTAAAAAAACATTTTAAAATATCAATTTTCAGATCTTTATTTCCTGTGGCTAAAAAGAAAACTTTAAGAATACTCACAGAAACACTTATAGCAGAACTAGAGCAATTTTTGTGGGGCACTTAAGTAGCTTCAGAGTTAAGACACGTATGACCATTATCCCTATGTAAACAGTCCCTTGCAAGTACTGTTTTCAAATGTTAACACAATTATTTTTAAATTGGTTTAAACCTCTGCCAAATTCCATCGTATTTTCTACTATGTAAAACAACATATGAAACTATCATTTACCATCATGGAGGAAAGAATACTGTAATTACCACATACACACTACCAAAAAATAAATTGTAAGGGGAGCAGTAATTTAAATGATTCTGAAGGTTCCTGCTATTGCAAAGCATAGAAAGAGCAGATTTTCGAATGGTGTCAGATGTTTTAAAACTGTGGCTTTCA